ATTTGATAACGGCTAACAGTAAATCAGGCACGTCAGGCCCAATCAACGAAAGAGCACTGTACCACCGGCTCCTAACATCTGCCGATGAAAACAATTTGTTACTCGAGGAACAGTTTGGTTTTCGGAAAGGTCGTTCGACCGTCCACCAGCTGACTCGAGTAACAAACATTCTCAGACGGAACAAGTCTGTTTCGAAAACATCTGCCATGGCGTTGTTGGACGTTGAAAAAGCGTTCGACAATGTCTGGCATGATGGCCTGGTGTTCAAATTGCAGCAGTACGGTCTTCCAATCTTCCTAGTGAAGATCATAAACAACTATCTATCAGACAGGACGTTCTGAGTCTCTCTGAATGGCATCACATCGGATGCTTTCAACATCGGTGCCGGGGTTCCACAAGGAAGCATCCTTGGCCCCATCCTATTCAACCTGTTCACCTCCGATATGCCGACTCTCCCTGATGGTGGATCGTTGACTATGTTCGCAGATGACACATCCACCGTCTACAAGGGTAGGGTCATCGGAGCTCTGACTGCCAAACTTCAGAGAGGCCTGGACGTCCTGTCTGAATATTTCAACAGCTGGAAGATCCCTATCAACGCGGCAAAGACCCAGGTCATTATCTTTCCACACTCTAAATCTCCTAGTCTTGTTCCTTCGGAGAATAACAAGGTCTGCCTGAACGGCACAGTGGTGGAATGGTCCAAAGAGGTCGTGTACCTGGGGATAACACTAGACAGCAAGCTTCTTTTCAGGGAGCACGTTGACAAAACAAAAACCAAGTGCAACATCTTGATAAGATCGTTGTATCCACTTATCAACAGGAAGTCAACCCTGTCCCTGAAAAATAAGCTTGCTGTCTACGAACAAATCATCCTTCCTGTAATCGAGTACGGTATGCCAATCTGGGAGAGTTGAGCAAAATGCCATCACCTTAAACTCCAAAGGATCCAGAACAAGATCCTTAGGATGGTCCTAAACAGTCCCCCGCGGACTAGAAATTCTGAGATCCACCTGGAATTCAAACATTAGAAGAACGGGGAGTATTCATCCTGGAAAGGTTCAGAGACACCTGTCTGAGATCAAATCATCAGATCATATGTGATCTAGCACGTTAGGTTAAGTTATACTCGTAGTTAGGTAGGTTATCACTTTTTTCAATTAAAAAAAAACATCCCCTAAGGGATATTATGTAAACTAGTTGAAAAACGCAAATATTAAATTAGAATATCAAATTAAACAAAGATGAAGAGCCAGGCTGGCTAATCAATTGAAATGATAAATCATTTTTTTTTGTAGTGATCCAGTGGCAGCACTTGCTAAAACTCTACACTGAACCCCTTTTATTGATAAATTTTGCTTCTATGACCCTCTATTTTAATCAACACACAGACGTTCCTAGGCTATGGTGCCTGTTTGGTCACTGTTGTTTTTGTGCTGTTCCAAATAGTTTTGATAATATAATTGCGCATTCTTGTTTTTTTAAAAGGTTTATTTTTGTCCCAGTCTTGTCTTCTGTCGTCACTTATTTTGTCATTTTGTCTTGTGTATTAACCCCCACTTGTCTTGTTTATTGTGTCAACTTGTGTCTATTGTCCTTCCCCATCTGTTTTTAAACTCGTTCTGTTACTCTGTCATGACTAATTTCATTGATATATAAAAATAGTAATATCAATTACAGAATAATATGGTTATTTCTCGATTACTTTTTCAAAGGGAAGCACCAGCTCCTGCAAACAATGCATTCGATCGTCGATCCGGCGCAACCGGTAGCTCGCACACGCTTATCAACACCACCAGCAGGTAGAGGAAAATTTCCCCTATCTGATGATAGTGCCAGCACGCGCGGGCGAGCCACCAGCTACGCCAAATCGACGACCAAACGCGCCTACAAAAGCCGATACGCTCCCTTGAAAAAGTTATCGAGATTTCTACTAATTAATGAATTATTGACAATTACCTCTCATGATCCTTGGCTCCACTATGATTTTAACTTACCACTTTTTGATTATTTATCAAATACCTCTCCGAGTATATAACGCCCCGATGCCTTGTTGGTTTTTGGATTGGTCCTGAATTTGTTTGATATCCTGTTCGAAGTAATTCTTTGAGTTCCAGCTTGTACGTGTCTCACGTCATATGATTCGCCATTCATAAAGATAATGGGTTAAAAGGGAGTAAAACATAAATAAAGGTAGATTAGTATTAGTTGTACTTGATCCAAACAATAGAAAGAAGCATAGATGACTTAGTAGAAAAATAAAACTAATATATAACTAAAAGTGCAATGGATAAGTGTTAGTTCCGGGATCATTTTAGTGTTAGTAGTTATGTTAGTTTTGATCCGTATTCAGCCCTGCCGGCCCCTCCAGCACTATTTGCCGCAATTGTGATAAGATTATGCGACACTGCTACTACTACTATGTTAGATGTATGACTTGTCAATTTTCGCAACGCAATGTCTTTCAATAAATCACTCAATCAATTTGATGTTTGAAAATTTGCTCAAAAGGGCTTTGTTGACACATCATACATTATCGAAAACTAAAGCACAACAATCCTAATTCTTATTTCAAACCTATCAACATATTTAACACATCTTTCCTAAAACTTCACTTGTTCGTAAGCGCCTGGTTGAAGATATGACTTTCGCTATTGACATTGTCTGTAATTAACAAATACACTAAAAAGGAAGATTTATTATACAACTTCATAGGCTAGTCGCCTCCCTAAGCGGACCCCCCGCGTCCTATCTCTTATGTTATTTAACTTTCTGAATTCTCTAATTGAAGTTTATTTAATAAATAACTAAAATCTCTAATCTACCTACACAATCATAACCCATGCTTTTAAACTACAATTTAACGTGTTTCAAGTACTTCTGTCTTTGACATATATTAATTATATCTTTGTTCGTCCCAGATGACACCTTCAAGTGACTAAAATGCTTCACTTTGAAGTTAGTTTCCAAACTAATTTTAAATTGTATATTGTATAGGGTAAATGTTCCAATTACGCTCTCACGTTTCCACTATGTGGCACCACAAAAATACATAAGGGGATGTCACAATAGAAGCACACCACAGTGGAAATCCCGAGCCATAGTTCAAACACTTATCCCAAATCAAAATGAAGCACATATAAGATTAGTTACAATACCATCTACAAAAATGAAGTTTAACATTGTTTCCTGAGTAATACTTCAATGAAAAGAAGAATGAAAGCTTGTCACGCCAATAGAAGGAGCACTGTTGGGCACTTTCTGAAATATTTCAATAGTATAATTCCCTTGCAAACCCACATGAATCTATCTGCGTAAAAATAAATAAAATAAGAGTGATTTGCGGCAAAACCCGCCAGTATCACACCCAACGTCAGTGCCTATACGTAAGCGTACTACGACGCGGCTCTCAATTAAAGGAGTAACAAGTGTGATACTATCACTGCTAGACTAGATCTTTGGTTCTCTCATGCAGTGGTTTATCAGAGAGGGGAAGCTTAGTAATCCCCATTGCCTGCCCATGACGCCATTCTATCGCGGCATGAGCCAGCAACGCCGACCATAAACCTACCGTCTCCAACACTCCACTAGCATGAAATTAAGCCCGCCCACCAATAGCAAGGTGCAAAAACTAGCCAAGGGGAGGGTAATTGAAATGATAAACCAATTTACTACCATAATGAACAGAAATTAACATAATTTTACTACTACTAATCAACGTGGACAGCTTATATAGGGGTGGAATTTCCCACCGTCCATAGCGTGCTCGCCAACCGTCCGCAATCGGTTCTCCGACGATCAAAATCCGATCGTTAGACAGTGGTGAGTTTCTTTGCGACACCGTTACTACTCGTTTCGTCAAGTCGTGTGGCGCCGAGCGACGCAATAAAAAGCTCTGACTTCACCAAATTCCGGGGACGCATATACTCCGACGATTATCGCACACGCACGAGTTGGTCTTTCACGTGCAAACCGATTTCGCTGCCTGAAGCCTGCCTGTTTGTCGAGGAACATCTTCCAACGCTGGAAAGACGCCCGAGAACACCCGCCGTTGGACCAACGCCTGGAAGAATAAGGTCAGAAGTTATTGGTCCTTGTTTGTCAAAGTCCTTAGGACATGTGTAGCTGAATTAGCTAAATTCAAAAGCTAGGTTTGCCCTGATCAATAAAATTTGGATTCGAACTTTGAATAAATTTTGAATATTAGGCCTTTGTGCAACTCCTTAAATTCAACTTTTTGATTGATATCTTTTGTTGCGAATAAATGTTTTGAATCTTTTTAATATTTCGAGTTAAGTTTTGACTTTACCAGATCGTGGTCGTCAAATGCTAAACATTGTCGGAGTTGTTTGTTCTTTTAGATGAGACAATTTCCTACCATTCAATTTTGGAGTTCGTTTGCCTTAAGATTACCGTCCCTTTACAATATTTTGGTTAGTTTGCTCGTATCGGTTGGGTTCAAGTGAAACATCAGTTCTGAGATGACTGTTTGGCCTGCCCTGAAGGCGTAGTCTCATGCCGGGTATTTATAACGGAGTTAACGGTCCTTCTTTTGGGAAGGTGGCGCTTATGCCGTTTGCTTTAAGGAACAGAACGGAACGTTACAAATTAATAGCAAGAAATGGCAGAAGATTGATTCACTAGAGGGAGATTTGTAGAACACTAGATTGCTGACGAAGCTACATAATATATTCGTTATCGCAGAAGGGAATACTGTTGGTCTGAATCCAACATACCATTAACAATTTGATCAACATTTCCTACTAAAAACTTAGTAACATGATCTAATTTCCAAACCGTAATACACCCCGCCCTCCTGGTTTAAAACCACTGGTCTATATGGTAGCGGATTGAGGTGGCACTAATCTCATAGAAAGGTTTATGACTTCCACCATCCACGAATTTACGCAACTAGCTTAATACGAGTGCAAACAGGCATTATTACCAAGCAGATCTATAAACACAATGATTTAGTCCCGGTTTTTTCATCTTACTTTCAGAATGGAAAAATGGGGCGACAACTTCGGGGAAGAACTGTGGGATCTGGCCCAAACGATGACAAAGGCGAGCGAAATCACACAGAAATACAAAGCTTACAATGCTCGCGTCGAGCACAAGGATGGTACCAGTTTGATTAAGTCCATTGTGGACAACGTGGGTCGAATGTTGATCCGCAAGATGGACGCCATCAAGTGCATCATCAACATGGCCGAACAGTTGTCCGAGGAGTTTGAATTTAACGAAACCATCGCGGACAATTTCACCTACTACTCCAGCAAGTATTCGAATGTGAGTTACACAAAGATCTTTGCGATCTTTTTTCCGGGTGGAATACATATTTCACAATTTCAGATTGATGGTCGACCGGAGCCTGATATACCATCGACCTTGGAGGACAACATCTGGATGTATCGGAATATGTCGCTGAATTCAGATACTCACTTCTTCAACATCTCGGTGAACACATCATACAGCTCGGTACACGTACCACAGAACGTGTACGATCGATATCCGTGGGTGATGGAAGCATTGCAGTGGTCCGAAGCATTGGACGACGTGTTTGAGCAGAACTACAATTCTGATCCGGCACTTTCGTGGCAGTACTTTGGATCTTACACGGGTATTCTGAGGCATTATCCAGCGCTGGAGTGGGATCGTGAACAGGTCGACACCTTTGACTGTCGGAAGCGCTCGTGGTACATTGAAACGGCGACCTGTTCGAAGGATATCGTGATCCTGCTAGACAATTCCGGCTCAATGACCGGCTATCGGAACTACATAGCTCAATTAACTGTTAAAAGTGTTCTAGATACGTTTTCGAATAATGATTTCATCAATATTTACAAATACTCAAACGACGTGGATCCTTTGATCGACTGTTTTGCTGTGAGTTTCAGGATTGGAAGTTAGGTTTGCACAGTTTTTGTTGACAATGAGCTATATTATTTTTCAGGACATCCTGATACAAGCAACTCCAGAAAACATTCGATTCTTGAATGAGAAAGTTCGAGAGCTGGTACCGGATGGTTACGCTAATGTTAAAAAAGCGTTCGTCAAGGCTTTCGAGCTGTTGCAGCATGTAAGTTTGCTTTCGCTACCCAAGTTCTTCTCTAAAACTAACGATTGTTGATCTCTTTAAGTATCGTGAGATTCGAAGGTGCAACGAAACGGTGAGCGGGTGCAACCAAGCCATAATGCTGATCACCGATGGAGTTCCCAGCAATGCAACAGACGTGTTTGAGCAGTATAATTGGTTCGAAAATGGTACAAAAATACCGGTTCGGGTCTTCACGTATTTGCTGGGACGGGAGGTAACCAAGGTTCGGGAAATCCAGTGGATGGCCTGTTTGAACCGAGGTCACTACTCGCACATTCAATCCCTGGATGAAGTTCAAGAGGAAGTACTAAAGTACGTAACTGTAATAGCAACACCACTGGTGCTTCAAGGCGTAGAGCATCCACCGACGTGGACACATGCATTTGCGGATACGGCGGTGATTTGATTTGGATTAGTGACAGTGTCGGTAGAATACCTGTTTGATTATGATTTTTTATTTGCAGGAGAATCTGGAATCGGAAGCAGATGATAATGAGCCTCCTAGGTTGATGATTGCAGTCGGAGCACCGGCATTCGACCGCAAGGCCAATCACTACAATGAAACTCGAACGGCTCGACTGCTCGGCGTTGCAGGAACCGACATTCCTCTCGAAGATCTTGACGATCAGACGTTGCCTTATAAGGTTTGTATATGATTGAACAATATCATTTTGTTTTGGAAATTGCAACATCTTACGCTTGCTTATTATGAAAATGATAAAACTTCTATCTCCATGACAATCAAACAATCAGCCATTTGATCTACACGGTTAGAAAAAAGTACCCAACGGCCAGTTCACTTTTACCTACTTTTGACTAGTTTGTCTCTTTTTCTCCTTCTAATGTTGTCAAAAACGGAGGAGCAAAACCACCCAACAGGGGTAGTAAAGTGTGGGAACCCAACGTTGCGTATAATCATGTTTACCTACTTTTGGGTACAACTAACCTACTTTTGGGTAGAAAGCTAGTGGAAAATTCCATACGAATTGCACACAAGTAAATGAAAACTACTTTGACCCGCTTTACCTACTTTTGGGTTCCTGCACTAAAGTGCCGATATGAGTGAAAAGAACTTACTTTTGGGTTACTTTTATCTTACCGTGTAGAGTTACTCGAACCACTCAACCAAGTGAAAAAAAAATTGATCGATCTCTCAGTCGCCTATTTAATGAGCCACGCCTGATGTATGAATAAATAAAGTAGTTTATTTATTGGCATCGGCGTAGTCTAGGGGACCAGTGCCACTAAAGAATTTTAATTGTTATGGGGTGAACAAATTTACCACTGTTGGATTTTCGACTTACAAAAAGTCAGTACCACCGTTGACTTTGGATTTGGATTTTGATTATTTTTTATTCCTCGCTTAGCAAACTAAGGACATTTGTCTAATCTCAAACACACACAATTTTCCAGAATTTTTATTCAGACAAATTGAAAGATCTGAATTCTAGATCATGAAATTAGACGTTTTTTAGGGTTAACTGCATAATTTGTGGAATCCCATGTGTTATTTTAATCAGAATCCTGAATAAATAATAATATTATTTATTAAAGCCTAGAAATGTTTTAGAGCCCATTGAGTCATAGTGTTTTCGGAAGATTTATTTTTATGAGCAATCCACCAATAGATTTATCTTTACCGGCTCTGAATTATATGAAATTTAGCATAATTGTTTGGTAGGGGCAATAAAGCATGTTTTTCCTGGAATTCAACCATTTTTAATTAAAACGATTTTCTACTATTTTCGACAAATTTGAAGTGTCCATTGTGTCGAATATCAGAAAAATAGCAGGTTTGATAAGCTTTCAAATGAACGTAAGTTCAAAAATCTTAAAAATTCACTGTTTTGCTTTTGAAGTTTTTAACAGTTTTTCAATTTTATGATCAACGGTTTTGATTTTTTTACAGCGTGTATTTTTATTTCTGAAAAAGCAATCCCGTTTTCAACAACTTTACCTCAGATGTTATTTCGATTAGATGAGCCATATTCTAGTCTAGTCTAGTCTAGTCTAGTCTACACATACACAGCCAGTACTTGAAAGAATCCTGGAAAATGATACATCTATCATTTTTCTTGTCATTATTAAAGTCTGCTGCACATCAAGGATGTGAAACAAACAATAAAGTGGCCAGGCGTTGATTAGATGAGCCATATTCTATGCTATGATTTATTGGAATATATCGATTACGCCAATTTGAAAGTAGGCGTGAGTCAAAATGGCCGAATTCCAGCACCAATAGTGAACAATTATGCAAAGTTTTGTGGAAGTCTGAATCTGAAATTCTATATTTCCATTTGTCTATTTGGCGTGGATTTACTCTGTTATGTCCATTTCTTGTAGTTGCGTCAAAACGTAGGCCAACTGGATTCAACCTGCAGCTACTGAATCACCCCTTGAATGATACTTTATTATTATGTGCTGTGGCCGGCGCCGGTGGTGTAGTGGTAAGCGTAACTTCTTTCTCATCCCAATCGGTCTGGGTTAAATTCCAGCCGAGGTCGGTGGGATTTTTTTGAGGCATAAAAATCTCTGGTCACGTCTTCCTTCGGAAGGGAAGTAAAGCCGTTGGTCTCGGCCCATGTGTGTTTGAATGGGTGTGATATCCTACGCAGGTGTGGAAGCTGCCTTCATGCACATTCGATTGCCGTCAATGGATGGCAATCGATGTACGTCGGTGATTGGCACTAGATTGCGGAACAGAGACCGACGTTAAATAAAGGAAAGAAGATCTATGTGCTGTACCCTCTTTATTTCTTTCCTCTGTGCCATCGCTACGGCTCGTTAACATTAGGCTTGTTTCTTGGAAGACCACTGCACTGTGCAGTCAAATACTTTTTGTAGGAATTATTTCTTCTTCACTTTGTGGCAGTTTCAACTAATTGCGATAGCGCCGCACCATTCAATTCATGTATCTATGTATACGTTTATATTCCACGGCAAATGAAAAGACCAGGCTTGGGAATTGTCAACCTCATGACGATAAACTATGTAACAATGACAAACAAAAAAGTCAACGCTCATCTGAAGCAAGCATCACACGGGAAAAAATATTGTCAATACTTAAAAATATTGATAATCCTATTGATGCAAATATTGACGACGAAAATATTGATGAACATATTGACGCAAAATCAGAAAAGTTTGATTTCCTGTTTCAATATTTCCCCTCATTTCCCCTTTCTGTTTGACTACAGCAGCAGATGGTGCCTGTTTCACGGAAACTTTTGTCAAGGTGGTTGTGATTTGACTCGGAATATTCCATCGGATACAACACTGTTAGTGAGGAGCAACCCTGTATTGATGAACCCCCGAAAATATTGTAGAAAGTATTGACATGAAAATATTGATGGAAACATGGACGATCTGTCGTGTGGGGTGCTCTTGACAGCACGATGCGACAAACTTGTGATTGAAAGAGTGACCTACTGGACTGTCTCTCGATGAAACATTTTCTATTCTTGTCTTTCTATCATTTGGTCACGAAACATCTGTTGCGTGACGTTTTCCAGCACGAGTTAGTTGTTTCACGTACGTACGATGGACTGAAACTGTTGACATGGTTATTGACGAAAAAAGTCTGTCATGAAATATGGCTTTTTTTTGGCAACAAGTACATGTACATCCCGAAAATCAATGTCTGATGCAATTTTTGAATCCAAGATGGCGGAAAATGGTTTCAGAAAAACTGTCAAATACCCTATAGTATGGATATTTCGCAACGGTGACGACATGTACACACTTAGAAATACCTAATCTATTACGTGACGGAATCCATCTTTGACATAAAGGATGAGACATAAACAAACATGTCATGTAAAATTAAGTGCTCCGAGACTGAAAAGTTCGTTACTCGCCGAACAGTAAGTTTGATTGAGCCATATTTCGCGTCTGTTATGACTCAAATTTATATCAAAATTGACGCTCGTTCATGTAAGTCTCAGAGCACCTAAATTTTTCCAAGTGTGTAGATGCCGACAATCGGTGTCCGACGTCATTTTGTAATCCAAGATGGCGGCTCTCAGATTCAGAAAAACTGTCAAATACTCTACAATATGGGTATTTTCGGAACCGGGACGACGTGTAGATGCCGACAGTCGGTGTCCGACGTCATTTTGTAATCCAAGATGGCGGCTCTCAGATCCAGAAAAACTGTGAAATACTCTACAATATGGGTATTTTCGGAACCTGGACGACGTGTAGATGCCGAAAATATATGTCCGACGCCATTTTGTAATCCAAGATGGCAGCCATTGAGTTCAGAAAAACTGCAAAATATCCCACAATATGGATATTTTCGGAACGAGGACAACGCGTAGATGCCGAAATGCTGGATTCCAAAAAGGGCGTCAGCCATCGATTTTCCATCTATTGTAAGGTTATTGACAGTTTTAGAAAAAATATAGGGCTGCCATCTTAGATTCCAAATTGCGTCGGTCATCCATTTTTGGCCACTACATATCGTCTACATTTGATAGTATTGCGCCATCTTGGAATTCTATATGGCATTTGACAGCAATTGCCGGTCCCTTGCTATCACCCCGATTCCGAAAATAACCATATTGATGTATTAGTATTTTCAACTTTTCCTATGACTTGAAGCTGCCATCTTTGATTTCAAGGCATTCAATTTCAATCTCTAGATGTACCCGATTCAGGGTGGCAAGTGAATTTCTGATTTTAAATTCCTGGTTTTTTCCTGGTTTTCCTAGTTTCTTCTATAAAAAATCCTGGTTTTTTGAACAAAGCTTTAAATCTATCAGTTTTTCAGATTTATTTTAATGCTTCTACATGAGAGAAGTGTCTTAAGTACATTTTATATGTATTTAGTGAAATACTTCAAATTATATGCTTCGTATGCAAACTAAACTGGTTTTGTAAAAAAAAACAGAAGTAAAATAATTATTCCATTATTTATATTCAACGTTCGCTGAGTTGTGTCGACTTTTCACCAACAAAAGGTTAACTAAAATGCAAATAATTTTTCAAACCTGATAATAAAAAATATTTAGAATGCATCAGTGGACCAGTGGGCACTCATATCAACAAATTGAAATTAAATTTTGACAGATAAATATCAATTAACTGAGTATTTGTTTCAGTCCAAGGTTTTCCACTTAGCTAACGTCTACTGTAATCAAGCGGCTTAAGGCCATTTTCTTGACCTCCGCCCAAGCCTTGATCCTGGTTTATCTAAATGGGTATATTGGTCCTTATTGGCGATATTGGCATTTATATGTCATTATCACTCCGAACCCGAAGCCTCGGTAAAATGTGTAACGTAAAACTTGCAATGTTTGAAAAATCATTTAAGTGAAAACTCACCAATTGGAACATGTCATGACAGCAGCAACGAAAGCTCTGATGCTTTTCTGCTCGATTATCAAAGTGTATTGAATATTGCTGATTCACATATATCTTAGCATGCATCGACATTTCACAAATAAGAAGAAGCAAACATAAACACCATCGGATAATAAATATCATTCACCGAAGCCTTGGTTGAAGACAGATCGATCCCTCTTGATGCAATCGACCCGGTCCGCTGGATTATCAATTGTATCAATCAGGCTATACTGAAACCACATGTAGCCCTAGAATCTACTAAGTAATTGTGGAGACGGTGTCCTCATGAAATGAAACAGTGTAGTAGTCCATAGGTTGGTTGGAGGATCTTCTTTTGCCAATGCGCTAAAAAGCAGTTTTAATTTATTTTCCTATTCAAATATTTCAAAATTTCTTCAATTTATCTTGCGAACTTCCACCTGAATTGTTTTTTGAATGTTTCCTTTCATATTTTATTTTATGTGTTGTCATGCGAACAAGGTCTTCAACTCGGTCTTCAATGAACGATTTTGGTTCAGTGTTCGAAAATCTCAAAAGCAGCTGTCAGTGACGATTGTCAATTTTTGATTGTCAAATTTGACGCCAAATAGTAATTTTTCTCTGAACTGGCAATATACAGATATATTATTTTGCACGCATCACACATAAATAGTCACGTCATCATTTCAAACCGACATGCATCTGTAAATTATTATTTTCTTAGTTTGCTTTAAAATTCCCGGTTTTTTCCCGGTTTTTCCTGGTAAAACAAAATTCCCGACATTTTCCTGGTTTTCCTGGTTCACTTGCCACCCTGCCGATTCAGAACATTTCCAAATTTAAGGGTATTTGACGGTTTTTCCCACTTTTCTGAAACTGGAAGCCGCCATCTTGGAATTCGAAATCCAAGATTCCGACCTTAAGGTGCCACCCTGATTAAAACACTACAAAAATTGAAAGTTATTTGACAGTATTTCCCATTTTTTTTCTGAAACTGGAAGTTGTCATCTTGGATTTAAAAAAGACGTTGACGTCGGACATGGATTAACAGTCTCAAGACGTCACCTTGAAAAATATAGGTATTAAAGGGTATTTGACAGTATATAAAACTTTAAAAAAACCGGAAGCTGCCATTTTGGATTTAAAAATGGTGTCGAACATCGATATCCGGTCTCTAGACGTCATTTAGATTCCGAAAATATCCATATTGAAGAGTATTTGACATTATTTCCCACTCTTGCGGACACCGGAAGCCGTCATCTTGTATTTCAAAATGGTGTTGAACATACATTTTTGGTCTCTATAAGGCACCCTGATTCTGAAAATACATATATATTAACGGGTATTTGACAGTATTTATAACTTTTTTGAAACTGGAGTCTGTAGACGTCATCTTGATTCCGAAAATATAAATATCAGAAACGATGTTTATTAAGATACGCGCGAAGACTGAAGCCAAAAGTTCCAATCGAACCGTCAAACGCGGTTCCAATCGAGCAATGTAAATAAACACGAGCGCTTCGCGAGGAAAGCGTGAGGAGTATTGAAATAGCGGATGAAATTTAATTTTTGAGATATAAATAATTTTAATTAAGTTTGCGTATGAAAAGTGCAATTGGACGATTTGAATTTTGGAATACAAATAGAACACAATTAAAATATTTTGAGATTATTTTCTTTTTAAATTTACATCGATATCAAAAAGCAAATATTTAAAAATAAATACAAAGCCGCCGTTCGACTGGATTTGTATTGCTGATGAATACAAAGTCAGAACATTTTGAACCTATTATCAAGTTATACATCATCAAGGTAGCTAACCGGGCTGGAATATTATTGTTATTCACCAGCTGTATTCTCGTTATGTTCTCACGAAACATGCGCTCCAGTGCAACGAAAAACATGTACACAGGCCCTGTAATGTTGATCAAGGCGTTTCCGGTGTAATATGTCAAGATAATGAATTTGGGGAAAAACGTCTAAAAAGGGATTTTTCTTAGTTGAAGATGCTAATTTCAAATAACAGACTAGAGTGACAATTTTTTTTATACAATGGAGATGAAAGTATAGGGTTGATAGTTCCGTTAGAGTACGGCAGTGTGAAATTGTAAATATATATATATATAGAGAGTAGAAAGCGAGCAAGGAAAAATTTTATGAAGGTACAAATCGGTTTGATCATCTCTCTTTACCAAACTCTCCCGTTGGAGAGGGATGGTGAGGGGTATCCGAGGGAGTTTTTCGATTACTTTTTAAAGGGACGTACCTGCTTTTGTAAACAATGCACTTCATCGTAGGTTTGGCGTAACTGGTAGCTCACCAACGGTTGTGTTAGCATGCGTGGGCGAGCCTCGGGGCAAGCTACCAGTTAGCCATATCCACGAGCAAATGTATTGTTTTCAAAAGCAGATACGTTAATTTGAAAAAGAAATCGAGATTTCATTCATACAAGGTACAGGGTAGGAAGCATGAATCGCAGATTGCATAATTTTGCGCAACGCTCTATAAAATATCCCCTTAAATGCAGTATATTTGGTTTCACTCAGTGTTGCCAAAAAATGATTATTCAAATACTTCGTTTGAATACCGATACTACCGAAACATTAAGATATTCGCTCAATTTAGAAGTCACTCGAAGCTAACACAAAATTTCGGGTTGCCAAAAATAGATAAAATAACTTTGTTGGCCGTGCACCCAGATTTACTTTTATTCTCTCCGCGCGTCTCTTATTAAACATCGTCTCTGATAAATATTTGTAGGTATTCAGCAGCAATTCCCATTTTTTATGAAACCGTAAGCCACCATTTTGGATTTCAAAATGGCGTCGGACATAAATTTTCGGTCTCCAGACGGCACCCTGATTCTGAAAATACCTATATTGAAGGGTATTGGACAGTATTTCTCAATTTTTCTGAAACGGGAAACCACCATCTTGGACTTCATAATCAGTGCTGCGTGCTGTCAACAATGTAAACTGACGTAAGATATTGGTCTAGCCCTGAATTTCACTTCCGACACTGATATTTTGGGCAAGCATAATATGAGGCGGTACGGATTTGATATTACAATCCATATAAATATCACTAGGGAAAAGATGAAAATCTTACTTTTTTTCAATAAATCAACTTTTTGTATTACCGTTGCATTGTTTTAATATTACTGATGAGTTTTCAAGAGATCAGTACTCAATTAGCTGGCGAATACAAGAAACATTTGAGGCAGAACTTTGAATATCCGTGGTCTCTTTACGATATCAATGTCATTTGCGCACTGACATTGATATTCTAACTGTGTGAATGATACTGACAATAATTTAATTGAAGAATATTCAAACGTATTTCCCACTTTTTCTTAAACTGGAAGCCGCCATCTTGGATTTCAAAATGGAGACGGACATACATTTCGGGTCTCTATACGGCACTTCGATTCTGGAAATTCCCATATTTAAGGGTATTTATTAGTATTTCCCCCTTTTTCTGAAAACGGAAACCACTATCTTCGATTTCAAGACGGCGTTGGACATCAATTTACGGTCTCTAGACGTAACATCTATTTCGAAAATATCTATATTTATGGGTATCATATGAGCTGCCATCATAGATTTAAAAATGGCGTCAGAAGTCGATTTACGGGTTTTGGTCGTGAATCCAATTCCGGAGATACCAATATTAAAGGGAATTTAACAGTATTTCTCAATTTTTCTTATATCTGGCCTTCGCATTGAGAATGGATGGATTCTTGTCGAGATGCTCCTTTTTAAAAGACATTTTAAATTTGGTTCGTTGGCGAAAGAAAAGAGACAGAACCCATACAGTCGGACATGAACGAAGAGGTTTGCTTTGGGGTAAAAAGTTTTGTTGAGCTCAGAGTGTGAGTTGTCGTACTTTGTTACAGGGAACAGTAGTTAGTGACATAAGACTAGAGTAAAGAGTCATGACTGGATGAAATTGTTGTTTGACGAGAATATTCCAGGATGACCTTTTTTTATCTTGTCTGTTAATGACAAACGCATCAATTCCCAAGCCTGGAGAAAATAACGGAAGAACAAATAAAAATAGGGGAAATAGCTCTTATGTTGGCCTATGGATCTAAGATTGGGCCTTTAGCTAAAAATCAGCTATTTATCAATTTTATCTAGATGAACCATACCATACCCAATCGCTTTCTTTCACTTTCTCGGTGATGAATTCATTTTATTAAAATTTAAATGATTTCCACCTCTAATTTTCAATTACACAAATCCCGGAAATTAGTGCCCCATTTCTCCTGAAATTGCTACTGCATGTATGCTGTTACAGTGTCATTGTAGTACGTGTCGTAGAAGCTGATATTTGTGCACTTAAAGTTTCGAAGTGCTAGCGAGAATAAGGATCTCACAGCGAAACACCGTAATAACGTTGAATTATAATCAATATGTAGCCAACAATAGTGTGTTTTTCTATTTCTCATAAATGTTGTGAACACGAATGCTGTGCAATGAAATAAATTCCTCCGCATTTCCAAAGATCTGATCCATGTGAATTTTGCAAAATCTTTAAGAACTTATATCTTTTAAGTAAGTAACTTTGAAAGTTTGATTGATTGGTTTGGTTGAGCGTTCTTCTTAGTTTCAGCTATCATTCACTTAACATCCTCTAAAATCTATCGTTTTGTAAAAATTACCACCGTCGTGTTATTTTGAAAGCTAAATAGATGATTTTTGTCTTGCAGCTTGGTGTTAACGGATATTCCTTCATTGTGAGTAACAACGGATACGTAGTAATGCATCCAGACCTTCGGCCAGTTTGGAAAGGTCGCCTAAAGGAGAACTACAACAGTATAGATCTGACGGAGATTGAGCAGGTGTTGAACGATATTACGGAAGCGTCCGATGACAGTTTGACGGGTCGTGAGCAGAACCTACAAATGGAAGCCCTTCGAGAGAATTTGGTCATGTCAAAGTCCGGCAAGATGTTGCAGGTTCCGGTGAGATTCCATTACGATGGAATGCGACGAGTTTCGCTGGAATATCAAGACTACTACTTCGAGCCATTGGAGAACACTCCGTTTTCGTTGGGTTTGGCATTGCCGCATGATTATGGTAACACTTGGATTAAGGTTGGCGATGAAATAAGACGAAACCAACATATGGGTCAGAACATCTCCGACTTCTTCGTCGGTGAAAACTGGAAGCTGCATCCGGACTGGTAAGATGGATTGTCAGAAATGTCTTATGTTTAGAAGCAATTTGTTTGTATTTTAGGATCTATTGCAAGTACCATTACTTGGAGGGACACGAGTTTAAGACCCCAGAAGATGAGTTGCGCCACTTTTTGGTACGCCTGTACGCACCAGAGTGGAAGTGGTTTCAACAGTATGAACCAGAGGCGGAAGATGTCGTTAAAGATGGTGACGAACGTGAGTAAAAATCAAATTGCCCCATAATTCAAATCTCCACTCCCTCTTTTGCCGCTTCAGCAAACTGTGGAAGGAAAACGCTGGACGATGATGCGTACTATTGTAACAAGGAGCTCGTCCAGCTGTTGGTATTCGATGCAAAGGTTACGAATACGAGCTACAGAAACTGGGAGTTTGAGAATGATAGAGAGCGTAGAATCATTGATATGTACAATGCCACATTGCGGTTCGTAGCAACCATGAGTGGTTTGACTAGGTGGCAGTTTATTTTCGGGGAAGTTGAAGTAGATTCGGACAACGAATTCGGTGATTATCACAAGAAAGCAATCGATGAGACCTGGTACAGAAGTGCAATTTTGCAACACAAGATCGATCCGAAGAGTTTTGTGTACTCAGTGGCGCATGCTACCGACGAGCCGGAGGATGAAGAGCTGAAAGTCACCGCAACTATGGGTATTTTCCCGAGGGATGGAGGTCTAGAAGCGCCAGGCTGTGTGACGGGATTTCAATTTTCACACCAACTTATGTTCGAGCGATTTATGGAAATTACTTCTAAAACAACTGTAAGTTCCAATCGATGAAGATTCACATAATGTAAATACATTATATATATTTTTTTCAGTGTGATGGCTGTATCGAAACTTGCAGCTCGGAAACTCGAGATTGTTACGTGATCGACAACAATGGTTATATTATTTTGTCGGAAACGTACAACGACACCGGGCGGTTCTTCGGAGAAATACAAGGAGCAATCATGCAATCAATGGTCGACAAGGACATATTTTCCATGATTACGGTATACGATCTGCAAGGACTATGTGAACATGAACGGGTTTGTCCGAATGACGCTTTCTCACTGATGCATGTAAGTAATCCAAAAGCTACCTCATGCTCAAAGTGCCATCACATCTATATCTTCTCGATGTTGGCTTTTATGGTTGATGTACGTATTTAGAAATTGTATCAAATTAGTAGTAGGGTAAATTACGACTTCGATAATACCTTTACGAACTATCGTGACGGGGTAAAGTTTTTTTGCATTAGGATCAGGGAATACCAAATATCTCCAAATGACAAAATGACGAGTAAAATAATAACGCATTGTCAGTAACGGCAAGTAATAATGACAAAATCCTCTTTCATGAGCAAAAAACTCTCTCTGCAATATAGCTCGATCGAAACGGTAGAAAGAAAAGATCAAATTGTTTGCAAGCTTCTTCACAACATACGCAAGAGATGGTATACTTATGTACATGGGGATTTTTTATGTCATTTCACCTTTTCGATCAAGCTATGTCGTCAACCGCATTTGTTGCAACATAATTGCAAACAATATACATATAATTTTCCTTCCACCGTTCCGACCAAGCTATATTTCAGAGAGAGGTTACTGTGATAGTCTTTGTAAGCGTTTTGTCATTATTGTTGGTTGCATTCTGTGCTTGGATTCCATGATGAGGATACAACATCGTTCATAGAACCATCGATTTGCCAATATTGAGCGCTTTTCCGAAACTGTCGTTCACCCTATTTTATGTGAGTAAAAGTAATGACAAATCTGCTGGTCCTGGTGACATCGACAAATTATTTCTAAAACATCTGCACAGCAGAAAACGACAACATTGCATTTTTTTTAATTAAAAAATGGGACGTAGACATGCTTCCCGCAGGCTGGAATCACAGCATGGTGGTACACATACTACAGTTACCGATTTTGTCAGCCCGTCGCGCATCGGACTTTTTCATTACATACTTTACATAACCGTATTTCCAAATCTTTCTCATTCTACATCAAAATGGATGTTTTAAGTATTCTTTGGTGCAACAAGACCATTGCAAAACCATTCTTCATTACTGTAGTAGGCTGCTCGATATCTGACAACAACGAAACCATGCTCTCCTATTACTTATCCCAGCAGCCATCTTCTTGCAGTTATCATCTCACTTCCCGGTATAGGGCCATTAAGCCAAATAGGACATTGGGCCGAATTAAGAGTAGTCAAAGTTTGAACTATTTAAGACAATTCTTTGAATCAACACAGCAAGCAATATTGAATTTTAATGGCGATGTTAATATTCATTAACGTAACCTTCTATTGAATTTAACCGAAGACTGGCAACTCTTCCATTTCACATGGAAGGCTTAGGCTTACGATGGCTTCACAAAGCGCATCGTAAACGTAAACATCCTCGTAAATGCGTAAACTTCCATTACACTCCAATGGATCCTGGTATTTTTACGATAGTGTATATGGTTTTGATCTAATTTCCGTCCTACTAAGCACAACCCGCGCTTCACCTCTCTTTTCTGAACGAGTTTAAACAAAAAAAGAATATTTCTTTCAAAGATAACTTCTAAATTTATTCACCTTTCCATACGTACAGTTGGATTTGATAAAGAGTCACAAATTGTGGAGATATTGTTTAACATCTAATAATGCCTCATGATTCTAAATTCGTTCCACGAGTTTCAATTCCGTCCTAACGCATTGAAGCGCCATTAGATTTTCTTCGTCGCACGGATAAACGTAGAAAAAGGGGATACGCTAGGAACGCTTCTTTTGTTTTGCGAACAATGAGCGTAAATATTCATACAATGCGCTCTTACAGGATTTATGTTGTAGCTAATGAACTAACGCATTGGAACAAACCTATTATTGAGTTGTGCACGGTGAAATGATTGACATTATTGATCATAAAAGATCAATAATGTCAATCATTTCACCGTGCACAAATTGATAGAACTGAAATGGGCGATTACGACGAAGTAGCGCTCTACCCTATGTACAGTCAGGAATCCTTATTGCCGGATTCCTTATTGTCGGTATCCCTTATTGCCGGATCCTTATTGTCGGGCTATGGGATTTTCACTAATAGGGGCTGTGGTTTTTTTTTTAATCTTTATTTTAGAGATTTTTAGCCTAAGGCTAGTTCATCTCTTAGGGGCTGTGGTGGATTATCTCATTTGTTTCAATATATAAAGCTATACTGTCTTCGACAAATATGTTTTACTGGGATAGACCAACAAGCCTGTGTCATTGGATCCAGGTTTAATTGGGAACTACACCGCTAGAGGCGCTTCACTTTTATGTTACTTATGACGGGCGTTATAATATATGGATCTTAGGTCCAACATAGAATATTTCGTGATCCTGGCCATCTAGAAAGTTACTGTCTTGAGCAAAGTTGTTCAAGTGACCAAGTCCTTTCGGATGGTAGTCATATTATTTAAGAACTCTCTTACTACGCGGCGCTAGTGTGCACATGAACTTCCTTAATATGTTATTTCTGGAAAGCATGTCCATATAAGATGTTGCTGTGCAATGTGAGAACAATGTGAGCGGGGGCGAACATATTAAAAATCAGTGAGATACCAGCTCTAAATATACTATGGAACCACTGATTACGACCCGTCTGGTAGCTAGTAGTAAAGCTCTACTGAAACCTCACTTACTCAAAAGGTACATTGGATAATCCAACTATAGAACCAATCAGTTGTCTAACATAAGTCCATTTCCATTTTGCTTCAAATATACTAGGAGAAATATATACTTTGGCAATACCTTTACCTTATATCGTCTGGGGGTAAACAAAGTCCTTGAGTGCACACATTTGTAACAATGCGGTAAAAACACAACATTTTGTTTACAAACGACAAGGTTTGAAAATACGGCGGATAAACAACCTGATTCCTGAGATTAAACAATCCAAGTAACAATTGAGGCTTTATGAGGATTCTGTAGACTATGATTAGAATGCTTTAAAACCTCGATAAAACATGCAATATTACTTGGGAAAGTCCAAGGACCCCCTAATTTACCCCCTATCGACAATATTTGAAGGTTATTCCGTGTCCGTCTTTACAATACCTGCAAGGTTTACTCTCTTTACAGCCCCTGAAAGTGTTGACGCTCGGAATCAACTGGTTGATTGCAGAATTCTTCATCGCGTTATCCAGGTTCGACTTCTGGGTTCATGGTATTCCTAGTCCCGACTATTATGATGCTGGAGGTACCGTTTCTGCTAATGTACTTTCTTCTGCTTATAAACATAATTTTACAACTCAACTCTTTGCCTACAGTGGAATACGAAGACTCGGACTATGGAGATATTTCACGCGCGAAGCCCAAAAAACCCCATGTAGACGAAGAAGAGGAATACTTCAATCGACCAAAAGAAATCAAAACAGAAACCGTGTACCAATCATGTGATAAAAAGTCGAATGTGTATGTCATGCAGCAGGACAAGTTCATCAAGGGAGACGGATTCTTCTACGAGTCAGAACCGGTGAATCCGATGGAGTAAGATTTTCCGTTAAATTAAAGCGTATGGTTGTAACTAATCCTTTTTCATTCTACAGACTGCTGCATCGGCCATATTTTGCTAAACGAGTTCCCCGGTCCAACCTTTTGATGATCATCGTGGATAATGAGCACCCATCGGATCACGTTATCCTGTCAGCGGCTCCTCATGTCATCGCTTATAATGCCACCGAGGAGCTTCCGTGCGTGAAAACCAGGTTAAACTTTTTACCCCGCCGAAGGCTGGAGGAGTGCTACACTGAGCATCCAGATGTGAGTTTTTGGGCAGTTGTGCAGTTGATGATTGTGCTAATTCATATGTTTCTGATCCCTTACAGGAGAATATAGTGGCTCAATGTGGCGAAGCCTCCAAGCCAACAATTCAACTGACTGTAGTGATATCGTCTCTAGTATCACTGTTGTTATATCGATGTGCCCAAAAGATAGTCTAATTGAAAACTTAGCAGTGGAACTCGATACTCTAGGACAAACCAAAGTCTTTTTACGTTGTAGGAATAGAGGAAACAATTTTCGAGAAAGCATATACCTGTAGTTGAAATGAAGAAAAAACTTTTTTACTGAAAATTAACGAGCGTGATTTTTTCGCAACCCCTCTGTTTCAAATGGAATGTCAGAGAGAGAGGCAAAATTGTTATGAACTTATTGTTTTAGAAGAATGCACATACAGGTTAGGACCCTTGAAATCTATACAATCAGGACGAGTCAATCTTTCAAACTCTTCCACATGCGTCCACAATTCTGCCAAGATCAGAACCAACCATTTTCCGCCCACCATTCATTTAACGCATTTTCGAGACACACACACACACACACAAACATTTCAACGTTAAAGAACATATATGTACATTTCGAACACCAACCGAAAAGATCGCGACCCACTGAACTCGAATTTGTCTTTAACACGAGTGGTTTATCATTCCTTCTAACGCGAGCTGCACTCTTTTAAGTAACGGCAACACAAACGGAATAAACAGAACCTCAATCAATCAATACTCAAATACGGTGTGATTGCACATGACAATGTTGTTTTTATTTTTGATATAAAATTGTTACCGAAAAACTGAAGATGCAACTCAAAGGATAGTTGATTTGTGCGAACAAATAAATTGTTTCATGTTTTCAATCAAATGGATTCGTTTATAGTCAATTGTAGTCGAAGAATCCGGATCCTGATGTTTAGTAAATTGTTATATGACAACCGAAAAAAGACACATAGCTCGCAATTGATTGTGTCATCCAAGATTGCAGTTCACGAGAAAAAAGAATTCGGTATGCAATAGTTAGTAAACTGAACTAGGTACAGCTGTAGTATCTTTCTTACTAGTGTCATCATTTGTAATGGAATGTAGTATCAGTTAACGCAATCATTGAGATATGTTTAAGTTGAACATATATTTTTGTAACATGAGGAATGACTTATCGCTCCATATTGATATTAAATTGTTGATAATTTAGTTTCACTACTTCACATATTAATTTGAAAATATCACACTTCCGTCCATATTGTAGGTTCCAAGCGACGTGTTAGAATTGTACACAGCAAAAAAATAATTTTGATATCACATCAAAGTGGATGCACTACAATCATGTCGAAAATTTCATGTAATTTTTATGACCACATAAATAAACAAATGCAGTAAAAGCAGCGTAATGTCAGTTCATGCATTGTATTAATGATAATTTTGTCCTTTTTAGCAAGTAATATTACACCATATTTTCGACATGATTGTAGTGCATCCACTTTGACGTGATATCAAAATTATTTTTTTGCTGTGTATGACGCAGTCCTACCTATTACATTCTTTATACTATTGCCGTTTCAGTTTAAAACTGGTAAAATCCACTAGCGAAAATCGATTTTACTCACGTTCTATACTATGTACTATGTACACTATGCATAACAGTGTCGGCGGAAGAAGTGCGCTGTAATCGCACAATGTTGCGCTACTTCCGACAATATGTATAGAACGTGAGTAAAATCGATTTTCGCTAGTGGGTTTTTCCAGGTTTCAGCTAGAACGACAATATTGAGCTTAGGTCATGCACCTCTCTTTCGCTCAGTTGGCTAGTGAGGCTAGTTCACTGATCGCCTCTCAACTTTCGATACAGTTCCGATAGTATTTACGTTACTGCCCTGCTGACGACATTCCAGGTGTTCTCATTTTGACACTTTTCATCGATTGCATTCTGCGCGTTAAGGGCAGGCATCACTTACATAGACACTCATCACCCCCACCTTCCCCTTATAGTGTCTACGTGTTTCATGAAAGGCCCCTTATATAATATAATAATACGTAGTATTAAGATCAACTCCGTACGGAAGAAATTTGCAAGTGCATGTCAACTCTTCCAAAGTATTTCTTGAAATCATCGAAGCCCACGGTCAACGATCGTGTGACGTATTGATCTTTTGTCTACAGTATGTCAACCGCCATAAATCAATGGTCGGACTCAAAATGATTAAGCACAATTTCCTTTAGGCCTACGTTTTTCTTGCTAAGAAGTAGAACAAGATTGTTACGGCTTATGCCGTTGTATTGTTTTGATAACCTAAATTACTTTATGAATTTGTTGATACCTACACAATCACTATTTAAATTATTAATTAGATAAACAAGATACAATTATATTTACCATGCAAATGAGTTCACTGCTACTTATATTTAAACTACGGCCACTATGAGCAGTGAACCCTACATTGAAACAAATCTAATCCTTATATACTGGAAGTACACAAGAGATAAGTGCTATGAGCGATAATACGATATAGTTCGAAACCAACGATAACTGATCACAAAGAATGTATAGTATAGAATTAGGGATATAGGGAAAAGTGGATCTTACGTAGGAGACGGATCAGTTACGATCAACATCTCGACCACAATAAAAGTGTCAGACAGAACAACACATTCTGTACGCGGTCCGAAATTCCCCCTTCTTACTCGTCGGGTTACCCGTGTGCTACGAAGTTTCGTGCCAGTGTGGAACGCGTTCTTAGCCCAGAGGCCAAGTGCCATTAAGAAAGTATTCGTATCGGCATTCCGGGTGTATCGCCTGAACATTGGTCCTTTGAACCGGATACGAAGGACATTCCGGGACCAGAAAGTGATCTGTGGCCACGTTGGCAGGAACAAGCCAGTACGGTGTGAAGGTGAACGATAGCCATTTTGTACGTGCAGGCCAAGCCAAGCCAAGTCGGCATTGTTAAATCGTTCGATTGTTGGTGGCAGTTAACAAAGCAGCTTGCTTTGCCATTTTTTGAAGCCTTGATAGTGAACCTTTGTGAGGTGATCGACCGTGAGCGGCAAGAAGAACAATAACTTTTTTTTTTTCCTTGATTTGTTTTCCGTCGATCTTGTTTTCCGTGCTGAGCACCAATGCTACCGACGCCAGGGAGGCAGCTCCCGCACCTGGACCCTACCTATCGACCCATCAACTCATGAACCGGGGACCAACGGCTTTACTTCCCTTCGGAAGGAAGGCGTGATCAGAGATGTTATGTCTCAGAACATCCCGGCGGTGCCCCCTGGGATTGAACCCAGGCCTGCTGGGGTGAGAGGTAATCACGCTTACCACTACACCACCGGCACCGCAAAGAACAATAACTGTTGGTGGATAGTTTTCGCGATTTTTCCTCAAATGTCGTAGTTCGGAAAACGTACATCGGGGAAAACTAAGTTCGATTTAGATTGACTGTGGACACGTTGCACGAGCACGTGTGTTGAGTGACTTTCGGTTGAAGTTGGTGGTTAGTGGTGCTCAATATTCCTTGGTGGCCTATACGTCCGCGTCGGGAAGGATTCTTCGTCTCGTTTCCGCGATCGTGACCCGCGATGGGAAGGAAATAATCGTTCGATTCCGGGACGCGTCGGGAAGGAGTTTCAATTCGATACGGGAAGGATTTATCACGTGCCGTCGCACCCACGTGTCGTCGCAAGTGCGGTTCGTATTGCGTAAGTACCACCGTTCGGATAACGACTTCGTTGGGAAATGGCCACCAAGATGGCGAAGGAGAAGAAATTGAAGGAGAAGAAATTGAAGGAGAAGTTCACGATTCGGCCGTCGCTATTTTCCACGCTTGAAACGATCGAAGCTTTCGTGAAGAACTATGAAGAGGATCGTGATTTCCCTCAAATTCCGGTGTGGTTGGAGTTACTGGACCAAGCCGTCCATGACTGTGTGAAGGTTCAGTCAAAAATCGAGAAGATGGACAATGGAGACGCCCCGTTGGTTAAGCACTTGCAGGAACGACGGGAATCCGAATCTCGGTATTGTGCAACGAAGGATGGTTGATGAACAGAAGATTGCTCGATCTGAACTCCACGATCCCCAAAAATGCTGTCCAGCAGCAACCGACTAGCTTCCATTGACGGCTACCTAAAATAGATCTGCCGAAGTTTGATGGCGACTATTCACGGTGGCTCGGATTTCGTGACATTTTAAGTCGATGGTGCACGACGTCCAAGAAATTCCACTGGTGGCAAAACTGCAGTTTCTTCTCCAGTCGTTAGAGGGCGAGGCACGTATGCCTTACGAGACGGTGGATATTGTGGCAGCTAATTGCGCCACCACCTGGGAGGCCCTCCTCAAGCGTTATGATAATAAACGCTTCTTCAAGAAGCAGTTGTATCGTACACTGCATGATCACGCTCCAATCCGGAAGGAATCAGCACAGGATCTGCATAGTCTTGTAGATGACTTCCAACGCCACGTCAAGGCACTGGCAAAGCTCGGTGAGTTGGTTGAAACGTGGGACATCCCACTGGTCTGCATGCTGTCCTACAAACTGGATTCAACTACTCTGAGAGCCTGCACGGGGAAAAAAGAGTTCCCATATTCGTGAACCACAGCCGTGAACCAGAGTTCACGGTGTATATTTGAGAAAATTTTGTTCTGGATAGTTGGCCGTGACTTTTAGTTCACGGTCCGTTCCCGTTTTCGGGAACGGATTTTTTTTCCAAGTGGGAAGAGCATGCAGCTAAATCAGAGAACATTGGGTACGAAGCGTGGATCGAGTTCCTCTACCAGCGGGTCCGAATTCTACAAACAGTGTCATCGGAGATCCAGCATCGGGCTCAATCAGCACCGGTCAAGGTTGTCGGGACATATTCAACAAGAAGCTACCAACTTCGAAAGCGGTTGCCAACACCGCTACTACCAGTTCGCGTTCAAATCCACCAACCATTGCATGCTCTGACAGGCATCTATTGTTCCAATGCCCTAAATTCCAAGGGATGACCATTGGGCAACGACGAGAGTTGATCTCCCAGAAGCGACTTTGTTGGAATTGTTTCAAGTCGTCACACATTGCAGTTCTGGCTACTCTCGGACTGATCTGGGAACCGAAACCCGATATTTTTCGATTCTGTATCCAGCTACCAGTTCCTGCTACCGTGCTCACGAGAAAAAACGTTCTGTCGTACATCGCGCAGATCTACGACCCACTCGGCCTAACCGGACCGGTAATATCCATTGCCAAGCAATTTATGCAACGCTTGTGGGCATTGACGACCAACGACGGGAAACCCTACGCGTGTGATGAACCACTTCCAACCAGACTCTAACATGAATGGAAAATGTTTCATCAAAGATGCTAAGAAGTTTATATTCTATGTAAATAGTGCATTCATCATTAGTTTGTTGAGATGCTTATACTGTTAATGGTTTTATAGAAGTAGCAATGTCAACAAAATTATTGTTGGTATAATTTAATGATGGAGAGCTATACAAACTATCCAGGATCTTCCAAAACTGAGGAGAACGCAAGTACGCTCATGCAATCACAAGAGTAAAGACGTCAAACGCAACGTGGTCATCAAAGCACACTGAAAGTAACAGTTTCTAGTGGGACTAGCATGCGTAGAATTTCCTACTTCATTGCAAATTTCTAGGCATAACATTCCCATTAAATATTGTTCGTATAAAAATAGGCTTAACTGATGTCATTGAAGGTAATTTCTGTTTCACTAAAACATATTTATTCCGATGAAATTTGAACAATGCGTTAACTTATTTTTACGTATATTTCTTCCAATGAGCAGAAATGATTCCAAACATTATTCGCGATTTTCTCAGAAGCAACTTTTGAAACATGGGACTGATTTGTGTAGAATGCCAGTTCAGTGATTGCAAAATTTTGGAATATTTTTAATAAGATTTGAATACTAGTGACACTCACGACTCTTTTCAAATTCTCAGTCACACAGCAAAAAATAAATTTTAATATTACATCCAAGAGGATGCATTTCAATCATATCGAAAATGTCATGTAATTTTTATGGCCACAAAAATAAACAAATGCAGTAAAAGCAGCGTAACGTCAGTTCATGTAGTGTATTCATGATAATTTTGTCCTTTTTGGCAAGTAATTGTACACAATATTTTTGACACGATTGAAGTGCATTTACTTTGATGTGA